CATTTCATGTGCTCCAGGCCTTAGGGCAGAACACAGATTTTTGCGTAACGCTGCATAAGGGCGAATTCACACCTTGATAAAAAAGCGGAAAACAGAAACGCAGAAGCCAATCAAAACTCGAGTTAATAGTCAATAGATTTTCTTTCTGCTTTTCTTGCTACTAATGCAATTTCTGATTGGCTTCTGCTTTTATGTTTTCCGCTTTTCTGTCAAGGTGTGAATTCGCCCTAACGCATGAATCAGAGTATAAAATGCAGGACTTTGATTTGTTAATTTTCTTATGTTTTATGTCTTATATCTGTGCTCTCGGCTTAAATGTATAGCTATTAAATTAAAAAATTTTACAAAGTTGCAAAGTTGCTTTTTCTACTAAATGTAGTCAATATCTAGGTCTAAGGCCCAGAACACATGAAATGCATAATAAAGCATAAGCAAAGCACAAACGGCTAAACCAATGAGAGTTTTATGTAAATCAATATGGCGACTTTATGCTGGGTGCTCATTGATCTAGCCATCTTATGCTATGCTTAAGGCCGAGACACAGACTTTTGCATAACGCTGCATAACGCACAAGACATAAGGCATAAGAAATCAACCAATCAGAGTATGAAATGAAGGACCCTGATTGGTTGATTCTCTTATGCTTTACGTCTTATGCGTTATGCAGCGTTATGCAAAAGTCTGTGTCTCGGCCTTTATGTTTCGTTAAACATTCCCCTACTTTGGACCTTAGGCCGGGAGCACATGAAATACATAAGTCCCAAAACACAATAGATGTAGTAAACCTTAAGCCGTAAGAAATTGACCAATCATAACCCATTATTTTCTTCAAATTTAACTGCGATTGATCAATTTTTTACGGCTTAAGGCTCACAACACCTATTGTGTTTTGGGACTAATAAAGCATAAGCAAAGCATAAAGGCCGAGACACAGACTTTTGCATAACGCTGCATAACGCACAAGACATAAGGCATAAGAAAATCAACCAATCAGAGTATGAAATGAAGGACTCTGACTGGTTGATTCTCTTATGCTTTACGTCTTATGCGTTATGCAGCATTATGCAAAAGTCTGTGTCTCGGCCTTAAGGCGGCTAGACCAATGAGCAGCTAGCATAAAGTCGCCATACTGATTTACATAAAATTCTCATTGGTCCTGCAAGCATATGCTATGCTTACGCTTTGTTATGCATTTCATGTGCTCCTGGCTTAAAGCCGGTAGCACATGAAATGCATAAGAATGCATAAGCATAGCATATGCTTGCAGGACCAATGAGAATCTTATGTAAATCAGTATGGCGATTTTATGCTGGCTGCTTATTGGTCCAGCGATCTTATGCTATGCTTATACTTTGTTATGCATTTTATGCGTTTTATGTGAACAAAGGAATAAATAAATGCATATACTATAAACACAGTAAACCAAGTTCTCTTTTTGAAAAATGTCTTAAAATAAATAAATTCAGTTTTATATAAATTTATTAAATATTTTTGCATTAATTGTTAAAAATACATATTTTTAATTATAAGCGCAAAACTTTAATACGTGCAAAATTTTTTTAAATGTTTAAAAGTTATTTAATCATTAAAATTAAATAATTATTTAATTTTCAAAGTTTGAATTAATAAAAAATACCACAATTCTATTTCGATGTTTTGATATATTTGTTAATAAAACATAAAAATCAATTCTTATTGTTTTTCTGTTAGATAAGTCCCCAAAGTAATCCTTTCTTATATACGATTACTTTGGGGACAGTTCTCAAAGTAATCCTCCTGTATATAAAATAACGAGGACGGTCCTCAATGTAATCATTTGTCCCCAAAGTAACCATTCTATATCAGATTTTGTCCTCAAAGTAACTGATTTACATATATACATATACATATATATATATATATATATATATATACACTATTCATAATTTGTACAAATACTGTTATTTTACCTTATATATTGGAATTTTCAAACTTTTTATTGCCATCAGCATTTTCGGTGCCTTCAATCTTCTCCATCTCCGCATCTTTACCAATGTTAGTTTCCAATATTTCTGAAAATGTGGTTTTTCCATTATTTTAGTTACTTATAATTTTATCATACTATCCTACTTTTTTTATCTTTCAGATTACATAAGCTTACTGTTAAGAATTTACATAAATACTGTGATTTTACCTTTTACATTAGTATTTTCGTCGTCTTTGTTCTCAATCTTTTCGGTATCTTTGGCGATAGTATTTTCGGTGTCCTTGACTGCCTCATCAAAATTGCTACCATCTATTATTTTTTAAAATAAGATAAATCAATTATTTCAGTATCACAATATGATTGTAAATATCTAAAAAAATTGTTATTATTTTTTCTTAAAATATATATTTGCAACAATTATATTGCAAATATATTATTATAAAAAATAAAAATAAAAATACTTTTATTTAAATATAATTATACAAAAAATTTATTAATATATTCAATTTTTTAAATATATTTAATCTGGAATGAGACAAAAGATTTGAAATAGAGATTTTAAAAAAGTGTTTACTTTTCAAGTTTAAGTGTTCAAAGGTACATGAAATTGATTTACTATTGGAAATATTTACTAAATATTCTTGTGTGGTCAATGAGTTCAAATACCTTTCGTAATCTTCTTATCGCTCGCTGTTCTACCCAAATCGCTTATTTTTCCTCTAATGTAACTAATTACTTTATTGGTCTCTATTTCTGCTTCATCTTTAGGTACTTTCTAAACAGTCTTTAACCAGTGTAGATATATATCTGTAAAAAAAATCAGTTAAGTATTTCGCTGTAATGCAAAAAATTTTGTACTGTACATATTTTCATATACAAATGTTCCAATATTCACGTTATAGTCATACAAACTTTCATTTTATCCCACATTTATTAGAAATTTTCAATACATTTTAATAATATAAATATAAATATTCAATAACTTTCAAATTAAAACAAGGATTAAAACATTAAATGACATGTGTTTTAAATATTCAGACCTTGAATTGCAAGAAGCTTAATTTTGTCCAATGGTGGCTTGGGTTTTTTATCTTTAAATCTGTTACTTGTATTTCCTGTTATACTTGATGACTGCAACGTTTTCAATCCGAAAACGGCAACTGCCAAATTTTTCACTCTCATTGCGTTAGTCCATCGAGCGTTGCCAAAAGCACCATCAAATGCAGCTTTTGAAATCCATACGTTTCTTCCCAAATGTATCTATAATTAATATTGTATCTTATTAATAAAAAAAAATAAGATGTAGTTTGTAAATAGTATTATTTTAAGATATTCAAGTATCCTTGTTGTAAATTTATATATATATATTTTTTTTTCCAAGTAATTCTTTAACATATTAAATCTTTAATTACACTATTATTGTACAGTATATTTCATTATTTAATTACTCAAAAATTGACCTAAAAATTGCGTCTTTGCTCCATAAAATTCACACTTTCATCGATCGAAGATATATAACGAATCATCATCAGTCTCATTCCATGCGGAATTCGCATCGCACTTTGCTAATCACAATAATACAATTAATTGTTTAAGCCATGATATTAGCAACGAAAAATCAGTAGAGTAATACGTATTTTCCAGTTTGATTTGAAAACTTTAGTGTTTCAATTATTGTGTTTCTAAAAGAATATGTAATATGTATATTTGTACTTACAGTCTTGTCCTCCTTTCGTTTGAATCCTACTACTGGTGCGTCTAATCCTTCGCGGCTTCTAAATTCATCCAACTGTTTGGCGTTTGCTAGAAATAAATTCGCATTTGATATGGTATTTTCTTACACCAAAAGTACAACAATTTTTGAATTTCTATGAGACATATACAGGATGTCTTATTTTAATTATTCCAGGCTCATTCAAGGCAAATATCTCGTTCAATATGGAAGATATGAAGAAATAAAAGTTTCAGATAAAAGTTGTAGGATATTTAGAGGGACAGATTGTGCTGACATTTGTTTGACCTTGCAGTTACCTTAAAAATCTCTGTCAAGGTTAAACTGAAATTTTTAAATAGAACATTCTATTTTTGATTTCAGAATCTAATAGCTGGTGTCAATTAAGAGCTTTCCAAAACATTATAAAGAAGTTATTTTTTATTAAATACTTTTCTAATTACAAGACTTGAAAGTTGACAGAATATTTTTTCGTATCTTCTATATTTAACGAGATATTTTCCTGGGACAATTAAAATGGAAAACCCTATAAAGTTCTATAGATTGTTAGGCTGTGAAACGTCGAGCCTCGCGGACTATGCTACACCGCCGCGCCGGAGAAAAGAATGCTCCGACGAGCTCCGTACGTACGTGAAGGCCTCGACGCAAAGACGCGCGGCGCGATTATCCAGCGCATGGCTGGTCAGCAGATACACTAAATTCTTCTTTTTATTTTTGTTGCCGCCATCCAACAACAATTGTCCCAATTTTGTACACATTTTTTACACATTTGTTTTTTACTACTAAAATAACAACTTGCAAAGCGGGGAGAATGACATCAAAAATCGAAGATTAAATATTAAGAGCCATCCTAAAATATGTCTATATATTTTTTTGGTTTTTATGTTGTACATTTTTTTACATTAAACAAAATTTTGTTTGCGTATACATTTATACTTATGCACAAACTAACATTGAAAAACGGTATTATTGCTTTTATGAGACTGCAAATAAAAAACATATTTGCATGTTTGTGATTAATGCTTACCTCTAAATTCTTCAAAATATGAGATAATCGATTTCTGCAATTGCATGTTTAAATTTGTCATTTCTTGGATCATGCGTGATTGATCTTCAATTTTTCTATCTCTTTCCACAATGCGTGCTTTTAGTATCTTTATTTCGTTTTCAATATTCGAATGTGAAGAATTATTACATTCTTCTTGGCATTTCTTATTTCGTTCTATTAGCACTGATCCTTCAAATATTTCGTTCTACAAAAGGCATATATATGCAATAAAAATAAATGCGTTAAAAATATCTTGTTTCCTATACGGAAACATGTATTATAAATTAATGGATTAAATAAGTATATAAAAATTGCTTCATAAAAATACCCGAGTAGGATTAAATTATTCAGCACCTTAACACTTTTTACAATGACATATATCACTCCCAGAAACAGAAATAATTAATACTTACGAAGAAACGCGCAATTATTAAAACAACAAAAACTTGTTTATTATAGCTTTAATTTTTTAAACCAAACAAATTTCTACAATGTTGCAGAAAAAATAACCAATTGTACTAACACTTTTTTTACTGTACAGATGTAATAGTACATGACATTTTATCTATTTAGTTATAAGTATCGTACATACACATTTTTTATCAATTAAGTAATAACACGTTTCTTCAAGGTTATAAATGTTTTGCATTTCTGGTAGTATCATATTACCGTAAAAAATGTTTTAAGTGATTAGCAATTTCTAGCAAGTCTGAAGGTATTTCTGTATCCCCCTATTACAGTACTTACAGAAGAGAGGTGAGGCTTTTTTATGTCACGGCTTACTTCAATCTTGTTATTGCTTCGTTTATAACAGGTTCCATTTTTCTGCGAAAAAAAAAACATGCAATAATTCGTGTAATAACACACATACTCAATCAGCAATGTTTTTTTAATGTCTTTTAATATTTGTTTTTCATTTCTTATTTATTTTTAGGATTTATTTTGAAAATAATATTTATTTTATGTTTATTTTATATTCATTTGTCATTAATTATTTATCAAAAATATAATTATAAAAAACATTTATTTGATATTTATTTAATGCTTATTTTATATTAATTATTAATTTCAAATAATGATTTCAAAATACTGATGATACTTGACTCATCATTTATTTCACATAAATTTAATGTTTATGTTATATCATTTGAAATTAATTATTAAAAATAATAAATTAAGAAAACATTATTTATTCAACATTTATTTAACTTGTAATCTTTATTTTACTGTAATAAATTATTTGAAATTATTATTTCAGAAAGCAATTTTAGTTTCATTTAACATTAATTAATTATTTCAATGAATAAACCGCTAAACACTCATTTAACATTTATTTTACATTTTTGTTATATTTATTTTATACTAATTCAATTTTTATTTATCAAAATTCTTTTTTATTAATAATTTTATTACTATGAAAATATTTCTTAAAGATTACACAAATATACAATATTTTTTAAATTTAGATTAGGATTTTCTATAGATCAAAAACAGGTTTTTATTATAACTTTTCTTGTATAAAACGATTTTTGAGCATTAGAAACCTTGATTTCAAAGATATTAAAAATTCTTTCTTAGTATTTAAGAAAACATTTTTAAAATGTTTAAAATACATTTCCTTCAAATATTAAACCTTTTGTAAATCTTAAAAAACCTTCTTTAAATATTAACAAAACGTTTCCTTGAAATCATTTTAATGTTATTTTGGAAAATGTTTTCTCTTCAAATTTTAGAGTAACTTTTTTACAATATTAATAAACTTTTTTTAATGTCACAAAAATACTTATTTAAACATTTAAAGAAATGTTTTTGTAATAAAATGAAACTTTAGAGGACTATTATTTTTAACGTTTTGTATGTTTTTGAAAATATGTTTAAACACTTTTGAAAACATTATTTGCTGAATGAGGATGCGATATAGTTTAATATCAACAAAATGTTCCGTACTCACGGAAAATAATATGTAACAAAAATTTGTATAAAAGTAATATGTTAATTTTGGAATTACTAGCACTAGTTTATGACACTGCAATTAATGTTTTGATACTATAATTATTGACGTTTACATTTACATTTAAAACCAATAAAACAGATTGTTTAATTCAATGTTATTCAATTAAGGAATATTGTTACTTTATTATATTCCATAAATTATCTTGTTATAGTGTATTACAATAGCTGACATCAATTTTGAAATTTTCAACATCGCGATTTTTATGCAAAAAAACACTTACTGAAATCGGTTGCAAGTTTTCTTTCTTTTGCACGTTCCTTTCGTCTGCCTTATACAGCTGTATTCGGCAAATTTTTTCTTGTAGTACCTTGTTAATATCTTCTGATTTATCTTTCTGCAAACAAAACTGTGTTAATTAAATTTTTATAATCCGTGTATATATACGGCGCCTGACATTAAATGTGACACCACTTATGAACAGGCAGATCGGATTAAACTGAATAGAAAAGTCCTAGCTGTACCATTTTGCAATTTTTGCAATTAGTGAAAAATTAGTTTGTAAAAATATACAAATCAGCGTACATTCGCGCAATTCGGCGGCAAAAGACAGTCTAGCACTTACGATTGCTCTAAAGAGTCTAAGGCAAGCAGCAAAGTATTAGAAAGAGCGTTGAGCAAACAATCTATGCATGAGTAGCGCATGCATAGATTATTTACGCAACTATAAGTGTTAGACTGTCTCTTACAGCCGAATCACGCGGATACATGCTGATTTGTAGATCTTTATAAATTAATTTCTTGTTAACTACTGCAAAAATTGTAAAATGATATAGGATCTATTTCTATTCAGTTTTGTTCTACCTGCTCATACGTAGTGTACACCTCTAATATCAGTTATCCTGAATAAGGAAAAAATACAAATAATGTCGAAAATTTACCCTTTTTGCTGTAATGTTACTCTCATCCATATCTGTGCTTTCCTCAGCTGCAGACATTTTATTTTTGGGTGGCACTATGGCCCTCTTTATAATCATCATCTTTCGAAGATCTTCAATAGTATCTAAAAATTGTTTCAGACTGTTAGAGGTATGTTCTAAACATCAAAATATGACTGTTTAAAAAATGTAATACATATTTTAATAATAAAAAAAGTTTAATAAATCTTAATTTTAAATCATAGTTTTAAAAACTGTATTTTAATAAACATTTTTTTGTAATATAAAATACATTTAAAAAATCGCGAAATCTTTGAAATTTGGATTGGCAAGTGTATTAAGCAATATTATAATACATTATTTCCTTTTTAAACTACATTCACATTTTATATAATAATTTTTATAATTTCTACGTGTTTTCAGATTTGTAAAAAATTTGTACGATTAAAAAACTATAAGCAGTACAATATTTTGAAACAATTTTTCTTCTTTTTTTAAATATAACATTTCTTTAACTGTATATAAGATTTTCTTCATGATTGACATTTTGTAACAAATTTAAATTTTTCTAATAATTTTTATATTTCTAAAACTTATATTATTTTCGATGTTTTAACATTCTTAAACAGGTATTACATATTTCAAAACATGTTTTTTAAGTTTTCGTAAATTCTTAAGATACTCGTATTTTTCCATATACGTTTTATAATATGTTCATCTTACCTTGTACAAAGATTACTATCCCCTTGCATTTGCTTGGACCGCATTTTATTTTATAATATTTGTTCTTTTTCCAGTTATTTGGATCGAAATGTTGGATTGTGGATACTTCCACAATATCCTTGTCTGAATGCCTTTCGCATTCGGACTCGAAGTGTACATACGCGAACATTTGATGATGCTAACGTAAACACAAGATAAAAGAAACGATTTTTTTTTCTAATTATTGACAAAAAATACCGGCCGCGCGCAACTTCCGATGCGCTGCAGCAGTAATTATACGCGACAAAATTAGTACAATTTTTGGCAAAAAATTTGCTCGCGTTTCTTGATACACTACTCCTTGATACACTATCCAGCAATAAGTGCGTATGCATCCGCCACGACTGCGATTTCCTCGTAGACTGCACTATGTGTAGCAAATTGCTCCAGAACCGAATCAATCAGTATAGCCATGCAATTAATATACGACGATCGAAACTTGATTAGTAGAGCTGCATGGTAACATGGTAACACACTGAGAAGTAAGACTTATTAATAAAGACCGCACACATCCCAAAACTGCAAACTTGCTGACTGTGTAGGCCGTCGCAAAGTAAAGATCAACAGAATTTCGTTAGGTGAATATGTGATACACGCGACTTTTTCAAGCGGTGAGGAGACTTCCTTTAACCTTTAACATTCCCCAATTAGGATTCTTGCGGAGGAGAGGGGAGAACACAGCGACACGACGTGCTACGTCGCAGAGGGCGCAACAGCGTGCGCAAGAGGCGCTCTCTGTCTCTCTCTCTCTCTCTCTCTCTCTCTCTCTCTCTCTCTCTCTCTTTCTCTCTCTCTCTCTCTCTTTCTCTCTCTCTTTCTCTCTAGACTAGATATATGAGAAATTTCGGTTTGTTTTAAATAGGAATTTTATAACATTTATATTTTTGCTGTTTGTTTTTATTTGTAATAAACAAATTAATATTCAATTTTAAAACTTATATTTATTAATAAAATTTATTAAACTTAATAAGAAGTGGCTTAAAAAATTCAGAAAAAACGCATTTAAAGTTTTATAAATATAAGCTCGATAAATTATTTACGTTACATAATACAATAATTACATAGATGAAAATGTATAATGCATCGTTATTAATAGAAAAACATTAAAACGTTAACATTGTTTCAATAACATTTTTTTGTACTTTTTTGTTAAAAGATTCCAAAAGTTACACTTTTGTTTTTTGGCCGTCACAATAAATTGTAACGCTTTTAAAAAATATATATGACACGCAAATCATATGTCTTATATCTTCTGTAGAGACTATCAGACTATAATAATTTTGAATATGGATTCCACTGGCGGAGAACCAGCAATGAAAAAGAAGAAACGGTACAGGGTGGCTCGATCCAGATTATCAACAAGATTGGACTTGTGCAAAAACGCATGCATCTTGGATGAAAATAGTATCACAAGTTGATATCACAGAGAATTCCAGTACGATATGTAATTACTTTGTACGAAAGATACGAGTAACATTTGAATTTGATAAAATGTATAAATGATAAAAAATATTTAGATTATAACACTACTGCACAGCAAAACAATATATGAATGCAGTTGAAAAAGGTGTATTTAATATAACAACTTTAAAACGATTGAAGACAGAGGTCACATTTCGATGTATTTAAAGTATAGTATAGTAAAGAGTGGCGTAAATAGTAATATCGCAAGCAATTAATAATAGATTTTTTAATACTTAATGAATCGTAAAAATTTACACAATTAAATATAGTTGTGATAAAGAAATGTAATATAAAAACGTAAATAGTGTCATATTATATTGAATCAAATAATGGTGTCATTTCAGATGAAAATACTGACAATCCAGTAGTAGATTTATTCAATAAAAGTGAGTCTGATGAAGAACTGTTGGAAACAGATTCTTTCATATGTGTTCGCGCTTTGTCGCGTCCTGCGGTGGGCGGGGTTGTTGGACAAAAGTGTCAGAACGCGGACAAATAGATTTAGGAATATTTGACTCTGGAAGTTGGGAGTTAGGGAATTATCCGCTAGGGGAAGTGACTTCTAGAGGTCGAAATAGTCCTGGGAAATGCAGACGACAGAAGCTGCTTCGTCTAAATGAGGAGTTGCCTCAGAATAGGTTAGGTATTTAGCAAAGTCTTCGCGGAAAAGTTGACAGATAGAACAGTGGCGCACCGTG